GATGTCTGAGGGCTCGGGGATGGGTTTTGTGCCGGGTTTGGTTTTCATGTGCAATTGGCTTTGAATAAAGCTCCTGCACCAGCGGCTGCTGTGGGTCTCACCCGGCCCCACAGCCTGGGGAAGGTGGGGACTTACAGCTGGTGCTTGTCCCTGGGCTTTGGGGCTCTAATGTTCACAGACAGCTACAGAAAAGAGAAGAAGAAAGATGTTTGTGGTCCCTCCATGGTGTAGCTGATACCAGGCATGTGTCTGCCCCCATGCAAGGAAAAGCCTCCTGCTCTGCATGGGCAGTTCCATGGGTCCTGCTGTGCTGTGTGGACCCTACCTTTCCCAGCACGGAGGAGCTAAGGTGACATCTCCATAGCTGGCTGCTGCCGGGAGGTAAATCCCGGCTCTTCTCACCCCGGGGTGAACACTGTTGAGGTTTAACAGGACAATTCCCCACGTGTGACACCCCAGCACCCATCTGGGGGTCAAACAGGGACAAGGAACACGGGGCAGCAATGCAAAGGTGGTGTGAATGACACTGGGGGCGTGGGGCTTGCACCCCAATTCTGGCTGGGCAATGCCCTTCGTGGGGCTCTACCATTCAGCTGCTTTCCTCCTGAGGTGCCAGGACAGCTCAAGGTGATGTTGGACCAACACTGAGCTTGGGTGAGACCTTCAGCCTCCATGCGTGGTGCCTGCCTGGCAGCCTGGGCATGACCCAGGACAGGGCAGAGTGGCTTTGCCTGCTCCGTCTGGCCGCCGTCCGGTCCGTGCCACGCCGGTCGGTGCAAACAGATGGGCCAGATTAGCCAGCACTGGGATCCAGTTTCTTCCCGGAGCTGCCGAGCGGGAACGGGAAGTTTTCCATTGCCCAAAGTGCCCTGCTTGTGCCCTGCAAACAGCAACGCGTCCCGAGGTGGGTGTTTATTCAAGGTTAAAAGCATGGCCTTGCCACGTCCCGGCGGGGCTGGCAACACGTGGGGCTACCAAATGGTCCTGGCCAGATTACGGTATCTCACCGCCCCCACCATCTCCATCCCAGCCTGGCACCACCATGATGGGCACGAGCCCCCTTCATGGAGAGGGAACCCCAGGGAGAAGGTGCGTCTGCGCCAGGGGTCTTGGTCCTTAGGAGGGGATTTTGCACCCTGTGGGCTGGGGTTTGGTGGCTTTGCTACCCCCAGCACCCACCGAGAGCTCCTCACCCTGGCATGTGGGTCAGGTGGGTAATGTTTTTTGGGAGCCCACCAGCCCAGGGCTGAGAATCCCACGGTTTTGGTGAAACAAGAGTGAGAGCAGTGGTTGTACAGAGCTGTGACTCCCTCTGGTGCCTGCCCTGAGGCTCATCCTTTGCTCTTTCCTCACCCCACAGCCAGAAGGATGGAGAATTTGGGGTTCCCTGGCAGGGCATGGGGCACCCCCGGTGTGGGCAGGCTGGTGAGTAGGACCAGTGCTGAACTCATGGCTTGGCAGCAGCCATAGGGGCCACCCGGCCATGGATGTGCCAAGCACCCTTGTGCAAAGGCCTGAATTTGGGGGTGACGGAGCTGTTTTTGGGGGTGATGGAAGCAGGGCTTTGCCTGCAGATGGAGCTCCTCACTTGGCCGTTGGGCTCAGGGAGAGGGTTGGGGTGAAGTGTTAAACCCCACCGATTTCTCCTCCTTGAGGACCCCGTGGCTCTGCCAGACCCCAAAATGAAAAGACGATGGTGTTTAAGCTCTCTCAGCTAGGGAGGGGATGGTGGTAATTGGTCTTTCATTAAGTTAATTACCCAAATGTGCTTGGCCTGAAAGGGAGGGGGGGTGAACCCCCACCCAAACTCAGAGGAAAAAAATAAAAGAGTGTCTGCAACACCAGCAATTCCAGGAGAAGGAGAAATGGCTGTTTTGGGGTGTCTGGCTGCTGAGGCAAGAGGAGCTGATGGTGCTCCGTTGCCATCCTGCTCCTTCCTCCCCTGGAGGAGGAGGTGGAGAGTCTGGAGGGTGGGTGGCCATAGAGACAGAGGGGCAGCCAAAGAGCTCCTGGGTTTGGGGCTGGAAATGACCCCTCTGGGGGCTGCAGAGGCACATTCCCTCTGCCCGATATGCTGGGGGAACCCTGGAGGGATCAACAAGGAACACTTGTGGCTGCTGCATCCTGCCAGCCTGGCATGTGTGCCCATGACAAAGTGGCCCATTTTGCCCTCGTTTGGGAGCAGCGGTGTGGGAGGACTCTGCTTGGGGGGTGGGGGCAGATTTGGCCTTTCCAGGTGCCATTTGGGGCTGGTCTTGGTCCTGGGGGCAGAAGGGCTGACAGTTGGACGAGGGCAGCATCATTCCCTCTGCCCGATATGCTGGGGGAACCCTGGAGGGATCAACAAGGAACACTTGTGGCTGCTGCATCCTGCCAGCCTGGCATGTGTGCCCATGACAAAGTGGCCCATTTTGCCCTCGTTTGGGAGCAGCGGTGTGGGAGGACTCTGCTTGGGGGGTGGGGGCAGATTTGGCCTTTCCAGGTGCCATTTGGGGCTGGTCTTGGTCCTGGGGGCAGAAGGGCTGACAGTTGGACGAGGGCAGCATCGGGGCCAGATCCTGGGGTTCCCTTGGGGCTGGCAGCCTCCTGCAGAGGCAGTGGGGGCTGCTCATGGGACCCCCACGCTGCCTGGGGCGAGGGACAACCACGGCGTTGGCAGCTGCCGGCAAGAGCTCCGTGTTCCAGGGATTACACTGATCCCTCCAGCCATCCTGCTGCGCCAGAGGATTTCGGAGTCTTTAATGTGTTTTTCCTGCTAAATTGGAGGTGTTTGCGTCCCCGGCGCAGGGGCCAAGTCAGCGTGTGCTTTCATCCCTGAAATGGTAGTGGGGTCAGTAGGAGTCCACGGCTTGGCCTGCCCGTGGTGGAAAATCAGATGTAAAGCAGGATTTAAAAGTTTATTTCGAGAATGGAGGTCTGCAAGGCAGCAAGGAAGCAGATTTAGGGCTACAGCCCTGAATTTTCTGGCCCTCCTTATGGCGTTTCAGACTCTCCTTAAGGCTCCTCTATGGGCTTTGTGAATCCCAACTTTGCCGCAGCTCAAAGCAGGAGCCTTTTATGGGTTTGACACTTTGCCCCAGAAGCCAAAACTCAGCCTCTCCCATGTGGTTTTCAACCCGTGATTTATTCTCTGGTCCCCAGTGGTGGCACGGGACCGAGCGATGCCACACGCTGCCTCTGCCCGTGCACGGTGGCATGCTCACCACCGGCTGCGGTGGGATCCTGATGGCTCATGGTGGGCTTGGATGTGGGGTTGATCCTCACCTCCTCCTCCTCCTCCTCCTCGGCTGCCACCACATAACCAGTTCTGCCTCGGTTCTACCCTTGTGCAATGGCAGCTCCACCACCACCCACCTTTGGCCACACCAAGCAGCAGCAGCCCTTGGAGCAGGGTTTTGTCACCATCCTGCCACCCTCCCTCCTGGTGACATCCTAGGTGTGATGAAGGCAACAGGCATCGTTCAGGAGCGGAGCCACGCAGCCCAGCACCCCTTGGGTCTGACATCCACCCCTCCCCTCAGCTCCAAATCACCCATGGGTGCTTTCCCCAGCTTCGGGCTTCCCTGGCTAACGAGCCTTCCCTGGCTAACGAGTGGGTGATGAAAGCCTCGCTGCATATCGGGATGAATCACCCACCTGGCGGCAGCTTCCTGGGCTTCGGACACTGCTTTAGTTCATTAGTCCCCCTGGCTCTGGGGATGATCTTTCATAATACAAGCTCTTACAGCAGAAATGAAACCTCAGCAGGTCTCTAACGCTCTGCCCCTTTTGCAGTTGGTGTGATTTTTTAAAATTTTTATTAATTTTTTTTTTCCCCAGGCTATGAGGATAACTCCCTGGGGCTTGGTTCCATTTGGGTGTGAGGTTTGCTTCCCTGAGGTTTGCTGCAGTGATGTGCTGATGCTGGAGGTGCTGGGCCAGTCCCAGTTTGGGGCTGGGGGTACCCCAACGATGGATACAGCAAACCCATGGGTTTGCTAGGTGTCAGTGTTCATCCAGGTTTGGGTGGATCCGTGAAGCTGATTCGGTTTTTGGTGAGGAGAAATGAGAAACCAAGAAAAAATCCAGTGCCCCAGCAAGAAGTAATGTGCCTTTTTCTGCAAAAAAAAAAAAAAAAAGGGGGTCGGGAGGTGCCAATCTGTGCACAGGCATCCCCAAAGCTTTTTGGATGATGAGTCGGGAAGCAGCGATGCAGAAGTGAGAAAATTCTTACGAAATTCCTGAAAACAGCCCAGTAGGGAAAA